CGAGAGAGAAGGGAAAAGAGATTGATAGGATAGAGGGCAAAGAGGAGGAAGAGGAGGAGAGAAAGGAGGAGGGGAAAGGGGGGAGAAGAGAAGGAGAGAGGAAGGGGAAGTAAAGTAGGGAAGGAGGATAGAGGGAAGAAAGGAGGTAGGGAGGGGGAGGAGAGAGAGGGAGAAGAAAATGAGGGATAAATTATAAATATGGTGCATGGAGAGCAGAAGAGCTAAATAATTGTGTTTTGGGAGTTGATGGTAAGATGAATTGATGTAAACATTTAATAATATAAAATGATGCTGGCTGTGTAATAGTATACATGTGATTATATGTTATGAAAATGAAAAAGAAATTGCTATAAAAAAGGAACTACCAACTCAGACAAATAATCAAATCCTAAACAACAGCCTAATCAAGGAACCACCAAGTATGCTCCCTCGAACCTTTGCATATCAACGGAAGGCAAATCCCATTCCCTTCTAGCACTGATGAGGTTGCCGAGATGGGTCACGAAACGCCTGCAAGAAAACAACTCAGCCTGGAGAATACCAAGCGCCCCACAGTTCAACTACAAATATTTTCTCCTAAGGAAAATTCAGGCTAGACCAGAAGAGACTTTCTGGCCATACTTCCTCTTAGCCAGAGGAACAACCTGCCACATGAAGTGGTCATCTGTCAGAGACACTCAAGTGGGGCTTGCTCTGAGCAGAGGGTAAAATAGATGGCCTCTGGTGGTCCCTTTCCTCTCTGTAGCTTGAGACCAGATTTATGACGAAGCACCAGCAGAGTGGAAATTGAAATCCCCATATGTTTAAGCATGCTGAGTGGTGCGGTGGCCTAGAGGGGGAGCTCTCGCCTCACAAGCAAGAGACTGAGAGTTCGAGCCCAGGTAGAGGGTGATATTTTTCTCTCTTTGAGCTCGATGGGAATATAACTGCCGAACAAAACTCCACACTGGCAACAGGAAAGGCATCGGGCCACTCAGCTTCAGTCATTTGCACTGACTCCACCCCACAATGGATTACGGAGTCATTAAACAATGGGGGGAAAATATTAATAGCTGAAAAAGATTTCATGCCATTGAAGGGGGCATCCGTTGTCCCACAATTCAAATTATTATATGGGGAGGAAATTTAAACAGCGTTCGTCTTTCCCCCTCCCCTCTCTTTGCTTCCCATCCTTCCAGTCCCCCTCCGTGATGCGGTGCTTCGCTTCAAAACTGCAGCTGCCGGCCTCAACCAGCGCATCGCAAGTTTGCAAAGGGAAGCCACTCCCAGGTGACTTTTTTCCCCTTCATTTTTCTAATTCTAATTTTCTAATCCCGTACAGCAGCCGTCACCAACTGGGGGCCCGCGAGAAAATTTTGGTGGTCCGCAGAAAAATTATTTGCATTTTTGATATTGCACTCAATCAGGGGTCCTCAAACTACGGTTCCTGGGATGGATCCGTGCAATGGACGCTTGTGTTGCTGCAGAGAGTCTCCCCCTTTGGGGTCTTTTTGTGCGGGTCGGAGGGGGGCAGAAATCCCAACTCATCTAAAATGATATAGGGCCGTGTCAGCACCGAATGCCAAAACAAGAGTGAGGGCGCGGGGGAGCACCGGAAACCAAAGATCAGCTCCCCAGTGTGCACCCTCAGGAGCACCAGAAACCGGAAGAGCAGTTCCTTGGTGCACATGCGCGCACCAAGA